TAGGTTGTCATGTTATTGATAAGTGGTTCAAAACCCTCTTTTTGTTAGCTCCACTACTATGCTCATAAGCACGTATCGATTATTTCATTTTAATTTTTTTTATGTTACAAACTGAATTTCTATGTTAATATTATTATACAAATTCAGCGTGTACCTAATTATTTGTATACATTCATATAAATTTCTTTATGATACAATATGAATATATATCTTAACATTTATTATGATATAAAATTCATTTTTCATTAAAGTTTTCTTTAGACAGATTTTTGTTTCACGAAATCTCATGTTCATATCTACACAAGTGATTGGTGATATTTGTTTGGTGTCATAATTAATGAGATGAGATGAGGGGGCTAGTGAGTTGTGACCACCAGAATTTTGAAAACACAAACCAAAAGTAAAAATCAAAATAAAAGAAGGAAAAAAGTCTATTATAATGATTATTGCTAACTTATTACTCTTGCAGTAGGTTCCATTGACACTCAACTTCTGCAAAAAATCATCAGCTCAATTAATAACAATTTTTTTTCAAAGGTCCAGAAATGAATTCAAACTTAGAACCTTCAGATTCGAAATTAATGGTATTAACACTTAACCAAATTTTATTTGTTAAAAAAAAGGTTAAACACGAACATACTTCTCGACTAATGCACTCACTTCACACACTAACACTCTCATTATAAGTCTAAATTATATTAAAATTAAGTGATTCTCATACACCCATGCAATAATTATATATATATATGGTGACGTCTTCGGTGTACTCATTTTTTGGGTGCATTCAGTGCACTCGCTTTATAACCGCCATTTTAAACATGCGATTTATGTCAAAATGATGTCAATCATCGTTTATGATGTGATGAACAATAACGCACATGAATTTGCACAAAAACCATTGAAAATTTATTTTAATTTGAAGGATTTAGAGTTTAGAGGTTAAGGGTTGGGGTTTAGGGATAGAACTCAAAATTGAAGGTCTAGGGCTTAGGGTAATCCACTAATTAGTTGTTATCAATATTATATCATCATATTACACTAATTCTATAAATTCAAATTCAAAATCTGACACCTTAAAACTAATTTTGAGTTGGGTGCATTGAACGCACTCATTTTTGTGAGTGCACCGAAGTAGCCACCATATATATATATATACCTTATCAAATAAACATAAGTATGATTTTATACAGATTAGACATGAGAAGATAGACAAAGTGCTTTTGCCTTTTGGTCTTATGGTTCATATATCACCTAGTGAACAAGAATCTTCTTCATCGAATTCTAATTGGGGGTTTTCCTTTACAAAGATACTTTAATTTGACCCACCATACACAAAAACAAAAACAATAAAGCTCCAAACCCATTAAAGCAAAACCAAAGAAGCAACCGTTGGGAACATTCCCTCTATGGCTCCCACCTTATTAGTAGTATATATCTCTGTCTGAATGTAGACTCAAAGGAAAGAAAGGGCATGAGATTCAAAGCAAACCCTAATACCAAACAAACAAAAAGAAAGGGGGGAAAAAAGTAAAGAAAAGGGTCATCACTACTTTGGTCTTTGTTATACAAATTACTTTGCAATGCATCATGAACATGTAACATACATTTCAAATAAATGGATAAATTGAACCAAACTAATTCGCCAAAAAAAAGTACATTGAAAGTTAGCGAGGTTTTCTACAAAAAAAAAAAAAAAAGAAAGAAAGCTAGCTAGCTAGGTAACTCAGATCGTCGCTCTATGACGAGCTATTTGATTTGATGGAGTTGTTAGGTTATTTGTTAGTCTAATTGATAAGCAAGACGCTGTCTCTTTTGTTTTTTTTACCCACTGATGTTAAACACCGTGCTCTCGTACTCTTTCCCCTTACATCCTTTAGTCGCTTCCTTTCATTAATATATTGGTCTTCCCTCTTCTACTGATCCAATTCTCTAATGTAACAATCTCAATGTTACTAACTTCTCCGTCAATCCTGACAGTCACTCCCATCTCAAATTGTTGTTATCGATCATCTTGGCCACACTACTCAACAAAAGGTTTTCCCCCCCTTCTTCATCGTGTTATGTTCCCATACTCTCATTACACACATATATCAATCAAATAAGAAACAAAGAAAGACCATATTCTCTCCTTTCTAATAGATGATGAGCCAAAGAGAGAGAGAGAGGGGCAATTCCTTGGGGCATGAGAAAAGAAGAAGAAGAAGAGAAGAGTACTATTGTATTTGCAAATTGTTGTTGGGTATGCAGAAATTGTTATTAATTACTTGGAGAGGGGGACCAAATTTGCAGGACATGAACATTGGCCACCTTCATATACACAGCTCAAACTCCAATACCCATCTCATCTCCTAGCCTTCGATTTTACTTCCCTGTTGAATTTAGGTTTGGGAATATAAATACTAGCTAGTCAACATAGTTTGCATGATCTGGTCCAGACCAAATCAGACCACATATGATTTTGCTTCTAGTCGTATTCTGGTCCATTTTTATGGATCACATACCAAATACATGGAGTGCGTCCGAAGTCCGAACCGAGTCAAACCACTCTTGAAGCCTATTGTTGAGTAATCTTAGGGGTCTGCTGCATGTATAATTAATCCTGGTCGGTTCACAAAATTTGTACGATCTCAAATTCTCAATCATCAGATGTACACATTAACATTATGATTTATCAAAATACAACGAATTCAATACTGGAAATCATAAGGTCGCTCCATTCGACAATATCAATCCATGCTAACTCCTTACTCCTATCAGCTAGGGGTGGAGTTCGATCGGTAACCGAAAAGGTCGGTTATTGGTTAAACTGTACTACCTTTCAAACCTACCAACCACCGACTGAAAAGAGGCCTTAATGCTTCGGTTATCTCGGTTTTCGGTTAACCGAACTGCCCCCAAGACCAAAAGCAACTAGCCCATCCCTCCGAATACCGACCTTTCGTTTACCTTAGTTTTCGATTAGTAGATAATCGGACGATTTCGGTTGTAACCGGTCGATTAACCACTAACCGATTGTCCAGCCCTACTATCAGCATATTAACCGAATTATATTGTTGTGCCTGCCTTCTTCTCCATGTCAAACATATCCATCCAGCTTATAATTGCAAGAATAATGTCTTTCCCTAGCTTCTTTTTTACTTTCCTTTCATTTTTTTTTTATGTGGGAGGAAAGAACAAAATGGAAAAGGAGGAGAAGACCCGAAAGAAAGAATCAACAAGCTAGCCAGAGAGAGTGATGGCCGATGGGCTTTTGCACTTTTTTCTTCTTCTTCATTTTCGCTTCTCTCCTTTTTTTTCTCTGCTTGAAAAGTATCCCTTCTTCTCTCTGGCGTTTATTTGGCATTTCTCTGGCTTTGTAAGTTGTACAGTTCCTTTAATTTATTCCCTTCTTCTCCACCTCCTCCTTTTGCTTTCCTTTTGATGCATTTGCATGTCATAACAACACAGGTAAAAATGATATATACTACGAGAATAAACCAGAGAATGCTCGTCGCTGTAAAAAAGAAAAAATAAATTTAAGTAGCAACAATTGTAGTAATTACCTGAAGCTCACTTTAAAGAGGCAGCAGAGTGTTTGCGTGATCCCATAAAGAAAGAAAGAAAGAATGCAGTACTGTAGACTCACTCACTCACTCACATTAAAAGCAGCAGCAGCAGCTAATTAGAGTTAAAATTGTATAGTGAAAGGGAAATACGCACGCCGAAGACCATTGGCGGCAAATGGCTGAATGGTGGTAATGGCATGCATACAAAACAATGATGATTATGATGACTGATGCGGTTCGTATTTCTGCTGTAATATTGTACAGTATCATTCACAGCAGAAATGAATCAACCAGGCTTTCTTAGTTTAAGTACTTCTGTTTGTAACCTTTCGAGAAGGGTTGCGATTGTGGTGTCGGGATTTTGAATCTAGAGAATGCGATTTTCAGTGCTTGTAGTGCTGCATAAACCCTTGTGTTGTTACGACTTCAAGACGGATTATTTGTCATCGATTGGAAGTCACGGAGTTATGGATAATGAGACTATATATTTTTTTTTTTCATTTGTTGTAATTTATATCTTCTCAAGTATAATGAAATGACTCTCTTCTCTTGCCCGTGGATTATAGCTATCACATATTGTGTCAGTGTAAACCACGTAAATCGAGCTATGTTTTCTTTACTTTCTTGCATTAACCGGGTTGTAAAGATAGGGGAGCTTCTTGGTCTATACAGTGCTTGCTCCCTTGCTTGTAGAGTATGGCTGGCTGAGTCTGACTGGTAATTTTTTTTTTTGTCTGTTTCTTGTCTTTTGTTGGGTTTTTCAGTTTGCTTTTGTTATCTTACAGAAGTGGTATAGTCATCGTCCTTTGCGCCAAAGCATTTAAGTCTGATGATGATGAAAAACGTTAAGACAGTACCACAGAGAGAAAGAAAGAAAGGCTCAATGGTCATCAAGAAGAAAGATGGCAGCAGGCAGCAGAGTGAGATGGAGAGGAGAGGAGAGGAGAGGAGGCGTGTAAGAAAGCAACCACCTTTCACTCTCATTTCACCTCTCATATTTAGTAGTAGAGTAGTCTCTCTTCCTCTTTCTTTTACCTTTTCCTCTTTTCTTCTTGAAAGGAAGGAAAGAAGAAGGGTCTGCCATTGCCCCCCCAACGTTGCAGGAGACAGGTCCCCCTTTTCTGTGCTAAATTTGTATAATGGTAGATGGATGGATGACCCTGTTCCTTTCTTTCTTTGATGGAGGAAGGAAAGTAATTACTTCTTCGTTTTTAACCACTCTTTTTCACCCTTCCTTTCACTTTCCCTGTTTCTCACATGGACGCAGCAGCAGTAGAGAGAGAGAGAGAGGGAATTCCATTGCCATCATTTTCTTTCTTTCTTTCTGCTGCTCTGTTTCTGTTTGAGAGCCATTGAAGTTTCCATGCTTCACTCTATTCATTGCCTGCAACCAAAAACCAGAACCCTCGCCCGCCCGCCCCCCGGCCACCAACCAGATTCCAGTACGATACAAAACTGGCATTCAAAATGAAAAGTGGTCTAGTTTTGTAATCGAAAAAAGGCTGACCTACCCTGCCTGCAAACTGAAAAAATTGTTGCTTTTCTTCCTCATAAGTTGAAAACAATAGTTTCTCCTTCTGCCTTATCATTTTTCAGCATTTTGGGGAGCATGTTGCACAACACAATGTGGGTTCGGATAGTTGTCTCCACATTTGGTCGCAAGGATGTTCATACATCGTCGAATTGCAGGTTGTCGTTGAACCACTGTCGAGGCTCGAGCCACTTTCGTAGGCCAGTCCTCTTGACTTGAGTTACTTGCATACCAAACAAGGAGCCACAGGCTTAAGAAGACTAGCAAAAAAGATTTCATTCACTCAAAGTAGGCGTTGTTCTATGGTAAGACTGGCCGAGTTCTTCACTACACTCGAGTATTCAGTTGGGGGGTTATGTTGCCTACAATTCAACAAACACGCTTCGAACTGCCGCCATGCACATTAGTGTTGATTGATCTACAACTTCCTCAACTCTTGATGAACATTTTCCTGAACTCGTCGTTTGACTTGGGCTGCTCGTCTCCATCTTCTGCAGGTGGTTTGGGCTGTCGATCGGTCCAACCAAGCGGTTTAACCATGTTTCTCGGGACTGCAAACGTGTTCTTACCCTTGAGCATGACATCCTCAGCCGGCTTATGACTCCCTTCAGGGCGTGATACTTGGGACGTTCTCGAGTCATCTGAGGTTCTGCTCCTTGTAGGCTCAGATTCCCCATCCTTCTTTCCTCCATCAGTATCGCGAGCTGAAGACAAAACAGTGATTGGAGGCATTAGAGAAGAAACACAATTTGACTCTCTCAATCCATTGCCAATGGATGAGAGAACATAATCACTTAATTATGGTGCCAATTACTTGAAATTTTCAAACCCAGAGAAGGCAATAGATTAAAGAAAAGAAGAATTACCGCCTTTTGGAGCACCTCGATCGCCTTTCTTGCCCTTTTTCGGATTAGACCGTGCAATGCTCAGTCTCTTCCCAAGTAGTGTTTGCTTGTTCTTTGCTATGGCTTTAGCAAGATGCTCATCGTCTAAAAAGTCTACATATGCCAGGCCCTTCACCAATTGATTATAGAATAGTAAATCAAATGTGCATTGATCATGAGAGAACTATATGATCATAAAGAACAGAAAAGAATCACGCATGGGGGAGAAACAAACCCTCGACTTTCCAGTAAACTTGTCATGTAATATTCGAATGGAAGAGATCCCCCCAACGTCGGCAAAGAATTTACGCAGATCTTCTGAGCTGGCCTGCAATAATTTGGAAATCATCAGTACAACATACCTACAAGCCAAGGAAAAGCAAACCAAATCCTGGTTTCCCATATTCGCTGCAGTAGAGAAGAGAAAATAGACCACTTTTACTTGCCTTGAGATTTATATTGGATACAAATATGGTGCACTCATCCGTATATACTTTAGCTTTTCCACTGCTAGAGTCTGTCACCGTTCTCCCAGCTTCATGGTCAGTCTTTCCGCTGACATTCTTGAGCTCTTTTGTTTTATCTCCATGAGCTTGATCAGGGTCTTGATGTTGAGCGTTGTCCTGTTCTTTCTTCTGGGTTTGAGTAGCCATCTTTTTACGCTTTGCTGGAGACTGTTCATCAGTGATGTTTGAACCTCCTTTCCTCTTCTCGCGGACATTCTTAGGAACAGGATTCTCTTTCTGCCCTATTGTTGCAGCAGAGGATTGTAACTCTTGCTGCATCTTGTATAGCTGCAGCTCTTCCAGTCGAGGTGTCACCTGGGAAAATGAAAGGCACAAGTTCTTACATCAACTCATAACATAAGCAGACAGCAATGATATACAAAAATGTTTACATGAAAAGGTACCATACCTTTTGCACAGCAAGATCAAAATCTTCAAGCGTACCAAATTCCCTCTCAAACCGCAGCCAAGAATGACATATGTCCTGAATAATTCTGTTAATTAGGAAAGGTAGACATCATCTAATCCACAGTGCAATGAAGACACTATAACTGCTCCACAATCAAGAATCCTAAACAACAGAGAACTGTGATATGTTTCCCAAAGGAAGGATACAAATGAAATGAGCAATTGACTTCCAACACCATCATTTATCGTTCTGTCCTACCAAAACCAACCCACAAATTCTATCCAGCACCTTAGATTGCAAGGTTGAAAGCTAATTGAAATCCTTCAATCTCACAAGGAAGAATTTACTATGATAAAGTTTTAGGTTGCCAAATGGATCAGAATAGAAGAGTTTCTTATGACATAAGGCTAGATTACACTATGGACAAAAGTTATGGAACCAACTATTTCCAATGTCAAGTTTAATTTTTGAGATTTGTCAGATTAAGTCTCTTTCTATTTCACCGAGGCTTAGGTAAATAGGAACATGGGACTGCATCAACAGACCACTTCTACAGAAACTAGACCAAATGCATTAATCTATGAAGTACAAAAACAAAACAAAAATGTTAAATTCATAGAAAATTTCAAAAGGTTTTTAAGGCAGGGCGTGGAAATGGAATCTCACTTCTGATCCCGTTCCAGCTAATCTTTTGCCGTAGCATCGCTTATAGATTGATCTAGCTTCACCAATATGACCCAACTCAGTTTCCATTGTAATGTAACCTTGCCAAGCTTCCAACATCGACCCACTTCAGAGAGGAAAGTGAAGCAACATTAGTGTTGGTTCCCTTTTGAAGGAGAGCGCATAGAATAGAAGCAGCTAGGATACTGGTATCTTAAACTAAGGACCTCCATAACACATCATAGAACGTATTCTACCAAGTTCACATAGACAGTGAGAAGGTAGGTTACCAGGTCTTAAGCAAACTCTCCCAAACACCTCGTGCTGCCACTAAATCTTTCCCCAGATATACTTCTAGGCGGGCCCAATAAGCATGGAGGCGCAACAAACTATCGGTGTTCTTTAGTTGTGGTGATAAGTAGTCTGATGCATACTGCAAAGACAGCAAGACCACTTTAGATAGCACCAGGAGAGGCTATAAACGTAAGACTCAGAATTAAAGACTCCCAAATCAACAAGCTTGGATAAACAATCTATAGATATAAAGGTACATACTAAGATAAAATAGTATACAAACATTTAGTGCATACTTCCTTCATATATGGGACCGTGAGCACAAAGCAGCCAAAAGCAATTCAAACACAAGAGTCACTAAATTAAGGTATTGCCATTATCTAATGCAATAGTTCTTGCAATGAAAATATAATACAGAAGCCCTTCTATAAATAGATCCAACTTATACTTGCCTGAAAGGTTTTTCTTATTAAGGAGAAACCTAAGACGCCATCTTCGCCGCTACCAAACAGAATCCTTCGCCTCAAACCGTCCACTCGTGTGAGGAATAAATCAAGGTACTGAAGTAAACAAAGTAATCAAATAAGATAACTTGTTGTAGAGGAGCGTGATGTCAGTCTAGAACAATTAAAAAGTATATCTTTACCTCTTCCAGTGTTGAAAAGGTACACTGCAAGGCTCTCTCGAAGACCTGTTAAGAGGCCAAAAACAATAGAACCATACTCTCCGTCACAAAGAGGCATTTCATTTCAGATTCAGAAAAGAGAAGGCTGATAAAAATCCTATGGTCATTTTAGATGGTGTTGAAGTCTCTACCATAGCAATTGTAAGATTCACTACTGTCTATAGCGTTAAGCATAAAGGTTGCTACAGATATTCTGGAGGAGGTGAGAATAAACATACAGCAGATATGTCTTCTTCAGGTGCACGACCACGTTCCAGGGCGAGTAAGTAACGAACCCAAAGTTCTCCAACCCAAGGGCAATTCTTGGAGGCCCTCGTGTAAACATCTCTTACAACATTGCCAACCTGAAAAGAATTTAATTTAACTATTGCAAACATTGCAGGAAAATTACATAACCATTAGATCGGAGAGGCAACCTTCAATGTCCTGTCCATATACCGCACGTAATCAAGCCAAAGGTCACTTGACACGGGAAACTCAGCTACAGCACGTTCAAACAGAACTTGGACACGTGCTGGATCGCCAAATGATTTTTCAAATGTCAGGTAATTCTGCAACAATAGAAAACTTTGGACCTAAGTCTATTACAGTTGTAACCAAGAACTCCAACACGTAGGAGAAAAATAAAACTGAAAGGTTGTCCTTATGAAGTTTAGAGAACTAAGCAAAAAATGATTCAGTTAAAACAATGACAAATAAGTAAAGAAAAAACAGGAAAACAGATTACAGGACATAAAACTGTCAGGCTAACGATAAAGAAAATGCAAACAGTGTGTAAAGCACGAGAAGTTAATGAGTTTTACATACCATAAAATGTTGCAACTTTTCTTCTTCAGAGATGCCCTTCTTAAAAATTTGCTCCTCAAGTCCAACACGAGCCTTATAAATTTCCATGGCCTTTCGGTATGCTGATACAACATGAGTAGGAACACCATCCAAATCACTTGACTCAGCATTAAGAGTACTCCCCTGTTCCACTTCCCATGCTTTGTAATCTAGAAGTGTAGATTCCAAATTAACAAGAGGTACAGACAATTGTCGGTGGAACAAAATTCTGACTCGCTGGACCTGCGATTCTTTGGCCTGAACGATAAGAATTGCAAAATAATGTAAATGTGAGCAACTTAAAAAGATCACAATACACTTGGGAACCATGCCAAGACAATTACCATAAAAAATCCATATATTGTACCAACTGCAGAACAACTACAGAATAAGAACACAACCATAGCAAACTCCGGGAATTCTGTAAGGTTCTGATGTATCTACAAGAAGGAAAACCACAAGGCTAGACTTAGGCTTCATTAGTCCTCAACCGAGACAGGGCTATGAATTCAGCTTTTCTAGTGGCTTATGGTACTCCAGAGGGAGAACAACTATAGAATGAGAACAACACCATAGCAAAACCCCTTGGCTAGGCTTAGGCTTCATTAGTCCTCAACCAAGACAGGGCTATGAATTCAGGTTTTCCAGTGGCTTTTGATACCCCAGAGGTAGATTTCCAGAAGGGCTTTGGAGCTTGCGCTAGGGATTAGGGGTAGGAAGAAGCTTACGTAACTTGGCTGGTTCTAAGGGTTATCGATCATAACACAATTTGTACACAAGTCAAAAACCGATAACCACGTCCATAAAGAAATCATATAAGAAACTTGATATACTTTATGCACCCAATTTGATAAGAGCTATAGCCAATTGCTTCAAAGCTCAAAATGAAAACCAGAGGTTCAACTTATGAAATTGAAACAGCTGCAAATGGTTCAAATTGATTGGCTGCATCTGCCACACCCGAGTTCACAGTTTATTAAAGTTCACCTGGACTTTCAGTTCACATCTAGCTAAGTAAGACAATCAGTGAAGTGATAGATTGTACCTTACTGTCTTTGTCATCAATTGTATAGATGATAGCCTCCTCGAATTCCCTGTATGCCTCCCATATCTTATTCCCTTCCGCAATGTGTAATCCACTGGCAGTTAGTGCACGCTCAAAGACATTTCTGGCCTTTGAGATCCCGTCAGGAGAACACTCTCGAACAGAAGGATCGGATTCTTGAATGTAGCTCAAGTAGTCACACCATAGTGAGACAGACTGCATTCAGAACAAGTATCCCAATCATCAATTGCACGCAGCAACATAATGGGAGAATGGAGCTAGTGTTTCCCAGTAGCTGGGGAACACTTGCTCATACTCAGGAAAGTTAACATTTCATCCAACTCACATTCAACAAAAAATGCTAAATAAAAGCAGAACTTACCAAATAGTCGAAGACTCCTCGCTCGTACAATTTCTCAATAGCCGCCACAGACTCGGGCCTAGCAAGTTTGATCAAAGCAACAACAGCAAAACGAGGCAAAGAATCAGATAAAGTGCCAGCTGCTCTACACGTTCAAAAGAACATAGATCAACTTTCAAATAAGCAATAACTGATACCCAGAGGAAAGAGAAGCTTCATCTTTGGCCCATTCTTGCCACATAGAAGGTGTCAACGGGAACAGCGCGTTCATAGCTTCCCTAGCCTGTCTCAGCTTCTCCAACTCCCCCATTCTCCTTAGCAGCTTAATGCACTATAAATTACACAATCACTAACCATTACAACAAAGAAGTAGAACAGAAGAAGCAGAAAAGCTCAGTAGAAACAGGTACATGAAGGGAACAGAAGTTCAAATTACTTGAACGTGAGCATCGTAGTTAGACGGATTGGCCTCCAGTTCAGATTCCAACTGTTTCAGCTGCTCAGCAAGCTGGGAATCATCTTCATCGTCGTCAGATTCCGAACTGGAGTCGCCACCGGAGCCGTCGTCTTTCTCTTCGGCCGAGAGAGCTTTAGGGTTCTGGATATTGTGGTTGCTAGCGTCATCTTTCCCGTTCAAATCGCCGGTCACCACTTCGCCAGGAACGTTCGAGTGATCTTCTTCGTCCACTTCCATTATCGTCTCCATTTCTACTTCCCCTTTCTTCCGCCTCTGCGACTGATTGCTGATTTTCCTCTCCTCCTTGCTTAAGCAGACAAAAGAAAAACTTCCCGAAGTTGAGTACACAGTGCCTCCATCGGGGACAGCAGCTGAGGTTTGGAGATGCTTGAAACCCAAGAATAAGGTTCTGGGCTTTCGTAAGGCCCCAAGGTGCGACTGGGCCAAGAATGGGTAATAGACTCCTGGGCTGAAGGAAGTTCTGGGCTTGAGCAAGCCCGACCTGAACGTTTGTTCATGAACATTCTAAGAACAGCATTTCCTTCGGATTCTCTCTGTTTCTCTCCAGAGTCTTCCTTCCTTGCAGAGTTTTCTTCCTTCGCCTTCTTTCAAGCAAGGAAAGAACACTCCAGATCACCCCTCCCTCTCCAACAACTTATATATACCTAATCATCATCTTCCATTCAATTCCCAGGTTCAAGGATCATACTCAAAGCAAACAAAAACAAAAGCTTTTCCTTTTTACGCCATAAAGGAATCATCTTTCTTTGCCCAATTGCTCCCTGTACCAAATCCCCAACAATGACGAAAGCAGCAGCATTTCTCATCGTCCTCCTAAGCTCCTTAGCAATGGCAATCACACCAACACAATCTCTTATGCCCTACACGAGGTCATCACTGTGGGACATGATGCTCCCTCCAGAGGACCCGTTCAGGATCCTGGAACAGAGTCCCCTGACCATCCCCGCCAAAGGGGTAGAGGCAATGGGGATTGCTCTAGCTCTGGCGAGGGCGGACTGGAAGGAGACGGTCAATTCCCACGTGATTTCTCTGGACATTCCGGGGATGAAGAAGGAGGACGTGAAGATCGAGGTGGAAGAGAACAGAGTGCTGAGGATCAGCGGAGAGAGGAAAGGGGGAGAGGAAGTTGAGGGGGAGAAGTGGCACCGTGTCGAGAGGGCTGCGGGGAAGTTCTGGAGGCAGTTCAGGATGCCTGGGAATGCAGACTTGGAGAAAGTGAACGCGAAGATGGAAAATGGGGTGCTTACGATTACTGTGCCGAAAGTTGCTGAGAAGAAGAAGCAAGCCAAGGTGATTGATATTGCTGAGGAGAAGAAAGGTGTCTCTGCTCAGAACATTGAGGCTACCAAGGCTGCCGCTTGATTTCTGGTCTTTTGATCTATACACGTTACACTCCCATATAGGCTCCAGCTTCCCCTGGTTTTGTGTTCATGTTTGTTTGACTGGGGAAGATGAAGAGTGTGGACTTTGTAACTTGAGATTGTTGTATTGAAATAAGAAATCTTTTTGGAACTACATTTCCATCAGCCGGCTCTGGAGCTCAAACTGAGGTAAACAGTCGGGAAAAAGAATCAAAGATATCACTGGAAAAATTTATAAGTCAACGATGAATTACAAGTGACCTCTGTCTGGGGACCATTCCTTTGGTAGTTACACCAGCCAGTTTACAGGCTAAACGTTCTTCTGTACAACACCGTCCCCACTGCATTCAGGAATTCGTCACCAAGTCGTGTTCCATAGTTGCACCACAGTCAGGAGTGAACTGTAAAGTAGTCAGGACCAGGTCGCGGACCTAATTGCATCAGGTGTTAGGACGTCCTCAAATGAAGTGATCTCTAAAGTACCATTCTTTGCTATATTGATCATATAGGTGGCTTGTTGCCAACAAAATCAGAAACCCAGCAGAACTTCGGAACCCTGGAAAAAAAAAAAAAAAAACTGGTTAGTGTTGTTCTCAAGAACAGTTTAAGCAGAGAATGAAAAACCTGGCGCAACCGCGATGCAGAATGTTACTTGCCTGTTGCAGATTCTCCATTGCTAGTATGAGCAGTAAATACAACAGACCACGTTTTTGTTAGAAGATTGAAGTGAGTTCTCAATTATTCTCCTTTACGAAATTTCTCATCCTGCCAATCGAGATCACCTGTTAAAAGAAACATTTCAAGACAATCTTCAAAGCCATATTCCCCTTCTTGCAATGAAATCACGCGAGAGTGTATCATTACTGTAAACGCACATGCATTTACAGTTTACTGAAAGTACCAGAATTCCATCTTATGGAGAATGTTATTGTCCAGGTGGATGAGCGTCCTGAAAAAATCTGCAAGCTCTTCTGCAGTCTTTTTTACAAAAAGAGCCTCATCCTGCTGCCTGTAGAGCTTCATCTTCCGAGCTAAAATCCATCGATGATGAATCATGACCGAAATCTTTCATTACCTCTGTCATACAGTCCAATATCGGATACAGCTCATATGCATGCTGTTCTGATGTACCTCCCACCAAGAAACGCCTAAACCCAGAACCCACATAAACCCAGGCACACCCAGGAGACTTCTTCACACCTGAGTCTCTCATCAAAGTTCTGACCTTTGCTAGCTTATCCCAACATCCAGCTGCAGCATACATGTTAGCGGCCAAGACATAGTAACCTGAATTTTCTGGCTTCATCTCCAACAATTTTGTCGCCGCCCATTCCCCCATACCTATATTTCCATGAATCCTGCACGGTCCTAGGAGAGTAGCCCACATTGCAGGTGTTGGACTGTAAGGCATAGTAGTGATTATCTCCCTGGCTTTATTTAAGAATCCAGCCCTCCCAAAGAGGTCAGCCATGCAATCAAAGTGCTCCAATCTAGGAGCTACATTATACACACTTGACATTTGTTGAAACAACAAATGCCCTTCAGACACCAGACCCGAGTGGCTACAAGCTGAAAGAACTGCGACCATGGTAACATGGTCTGGTTGGAGTTTGCACCTAAGCATATCGTTAAAGAGTTTCAGTGCAGTATGTCCGTCCCCTTGAATCCCATATGCAGCAATTAGCGAAGTATAGGTCACCTCGTCCCTTGTTGTCATTGAATCAAACAGCTTTTTAGCTTCTGAAAGCTTGCCAGATCTCGCGTACATCTCAACTAGGGCATTCCATATCAACAGACAATCTTTATAAACCGAGCGTTTGAGAATGTAGGAGTGGAACTCCTTGCCATGTCGTAGATTTGCAATTCGAGCACACATGGGAAGGGTGCTTGCAATAGTCACATAATTGGGTTCTATGCCAGTAAGCAACATCTCTCTGAATATGAAGGATGCTTCTTCAGACAGGCCAAGATAGGCAAAGCCAGAGATCATGGAGTTCCAAGTAACTATAGTTTTAGTTTCCATCGAAGAAAACAAAATATAAGCATGCCTCAGGTCATTGCATCTGGAGTACATGGTAATTAAGGCATTCATGACATTATGCAATCCATCATTACAACTGCGAACCGCAAATCCATGGAGCTCAGCTCCTACTTTAAGGCTTCCAATATGCGAACAAGCACTTAAACCACTAAGAAGTGCCACTGAGTCCAAATTAACATAATTCCTCATCTTAGAGAGAAGGTAAAGGACACCTAAGAAGTTCCGACCACGTAAACAACTTCCAGCCACAGTGTTCCATGTTATGTTGGTTATGTCATCAACTTCTGACTGCATTTTCTCAAATAGGTCAACAGCTTCCTTCCACATTCCCCTTGATGCATAGCCACCAATAATAGCATTCCATGACACTGCATCCCTTTCCGGCATTTCATTGAACAAACGAAGAGCAACTTCCAACTCCCCAGATTTACTATACATGGATATCAAGGAATTATGCACAAATAAACTCCATCCATGAGAGCTAGCATTAATGGCTTCATGAACCTCCCTCCCGAAAGGGAGATCCAACAGTTCACCGCAAGCCTTCAGAACTGACGGATAAGTGAAATTATCTGGTCTAACTCCTCTGCCCAACATCTGTTTATAGGCAGAAAGTGACTCTTGATACATCCCATTGCTAATATAGGCAGATATGAGCAAATTCCAAGCCAAAGGGTGCATAATATTTGCATCCTCAACAATAGCGTGAGAGTCGGCTACAAAGTCAAAGTTTGAGTAGAAAGTAACAAGCTTTGGGACCAAAACTGGATGTCGGTCCAACCCCAACGATATGACATGCGAATGGAGCTGTTTACCCTGGCAAACCGACTTCTGCTCGGTGCAAGAGAAGATAAGACAAGCGATGGAATGCACGAGGGAGTCATGAGCTGAGATAGATCGAGCATGGCGCTGCACCAAAGAGAATGTTTCGAATGCTTTGGAGATATTTCCTTGGCTTGTGTGATCTTTAAGACAGGTTACTAAGAAACTTAACATGACATGTCCATCCTTAATAGCATAACTCTGGCGGATTGGACTCTCCACCACAGTAGTATCCACCTGTAGCTTAGCACTCTGTTTCCACTTGCTAGGTATGAACTTCTGTATTTCAGCTATGGATATGCCCTTCAATACCACAGGGGAAGAAGAAGACCGCATGCACTAAGAACATAGCTCCGTCCTATAATTCATCACCTGCAAACGCTAGGTGTGCATTTGAGAGTTCGCAATGAATGATTGCCCTTCTCAAGTAAAGGATAGAAGCCATAAGAATCAGCCATCTGCCAACCATGGTGGGAAGTTACAGGAAACTTACTCTGAAACAGAGTGGTGGCAGCAACTCTGCGCAAGTGAAAGCTATCGCCTTTCCTGTCTCCCGCCGGTAAGTAGGCACACACCAACAACCCAATTCAAGGAGTTTCCAGAGAATCAACATCTCCGAGTGCAACATGGAAGCGATAAATCCTCCATCCGCCTCTCTCACGCTATTCGCTTTCACAACGAATAGAGTATTAACCCGATTGATGTGGAATTTTCTTATTAGGGTTTTAGGTGTTTTGACAACTTTGGGACTCAGACTCGTTGAGGAAGAATGACGAGGCAGCTAGGCAGAGCGCCCTGCAGAACTGGCTTTAATTAGTACCTCTCTAATTTTGAGAGGGTAATTTTGTCTGTTCAGTTTATTTGGGGCTGAAATTTTAAAAATTTAAGGCTGCAAATAGGAATCCAGCAAAATTAAGACGTATAGGGGTCATTTGATATATGCGTATCTAAACGATGCATTTAATGAACGAATGTATTTTATAGAATGCATTGTTTTTTGTGTCAAAATGAAAAACAATGCATGCATTTGATTGATGATGTGACACTTGAATCATTCAATATGAATGATTTATAATTTCAATAATTTGGTGAGATTGTTGAGATTGTGTTTTGAGATTGTTCTTCCATTTTTCTTTCCCTTTATATCTCTATCAACTTTTATGCATTGTTACTCTTCTATGTAAAAGAACGGGTAAACATGACCTTTCACTTAAAAAGTAACTTTCTCATTTTATTCCTAAAATTACAATCACAACTACCAAACAATGTAATCTTATAATACATGCATTTAGACAATACAACAATTTACAATGCAAGTATTCATACGACATATAAATTATAACAATCGGAAATATCAAACGAACTCATAGTTACCCGGCCCAGCTAGTTTATGGGGAAAACTATTTTTGCTTTAGTACAGACGGGCCAAAT